GTCCTTAAAATTCATGTAATTTTTCATTTAAGTTTATGTATGTGTGTTGTTTTACATACATTGTACACAATACGTATGTTTACGTTTTTTGCGCATGTGCAATGCAGCGTTGTCAAGGACTTAGTCCTGAGACTAAGCGTATCGTATACGACTAGACTTACGCCAATTCGTGAAACGCAAATTACGCCCGACTAAATTTTGGCGTAAGCCCCGGAAGTACACCTAAGTTAAGGCCTAAATTTACGACTTTTGATGAAACGGGCCCCTGGGGATGATGTCATCTACCTCCCCGAGTGGGTGTACCCCCCCCCCCCCCTCCACAACTTCATCGTTTGTATTAAAAAGATTTCTTAGAACCGTAATTCTTCTTAAGGAATGACTAAAACGTTTTCAAATCAGTAAATTCGCTTTATTTTATGTTTGCGCTGGAACTTACGCCTACCCATGAGTAGACGTGAAATTTCGGCCTATCTTTAGTCCGGTGTAAAGATACGCTGTTTAATGAAACGCAAATCTTTGTGCTAGTCCCGAATTTACACCGGCGTACCGCTACGACTGGGCGTACGACCTTTGATGAAACGGGCCCCAGGTCTCCAAAACCACATAGATATTGTCAATCAGAAACTCGAGCATCTTTTTAATAAAAGGTAAAAATACAGTGTATTTTGAAGTACTTAATATATGTATTTTATATACTTAACAAACAAGATGTATTTGTTAAACACAAATGTCCGAAAGATGGTAAATGGTTGTGGACATATTATCTATGTGCATATCACTGTACGGGATTTTTGTTGACAGAGATGTTTTAATTGAAATTTGCCATTTAATGCTGTAAGCCAAACCCATCACCTCGTGATTTACTTCAACTTCTTTATGCCCCCGGATCGAAAGATCCCGGGGGTATATTGTTTTTGTCCTGTCTGTCTGTTTGTTTGTCTGTCTGTCTGTTGTCAACTTTAACCTTGCCCATAACTTTTGATTGGTTGGAGCTATGACTTTCATATTTCACTTGTGTATTCCTTATGACAAGACCTTTCTTTGAGTACCATCATATTTGACCTATTGACCTTGACCTTGGAGTTTGACCCACTTTTGCAAAATTTTATAAAACTTTATAACCTTGACCATAACTTCTGAACAGTTGGTGCTTGGGGTTTCAAACTTCACATGTGTATTTTTTGTGACAAGGCCTTCCTTTGGATACCAACAACTTTGACCTTTTGACCTTGACCTTGGAGTTTGACCTACTTTTGAAAAACTTTAACCTTGGCCATAACTATTGAACAGTCTGTGCTTGGGGTTTCAATCTTCACATGTGTATTCCTTGTGACAAGACCTTCCTCTGGATATCAACCTCTTTGACCCTTTGACCTTGACCTAGGAGTTTGACCTACTTTTGAAACGTTAACCTTAGCCATAAGTTTTGAACGGTTGGAGCTAGGACTTTCATACTTCACATATGTAATCCTTGTGACAAGACCTTCCTTTGGATACCAACCACTTTGACCTTTTGACCTTGACCTAGGAGTTTGACCTTCTTTTGTAAAACTTTAACCTTGGCCATAACTTTTGAATGGTTGATGCTAGGGCTATCATACTTCACATATGTAATCCTTGTTACATCACCTTTCTTTGGATACCAACAACTTTGACCTTGACCTTGATGTTTTACTTACGTTTAGAAAACTTTAACCTTCGCCATAACTTTTGAAAAATTGCAGCTAGGGCTTTCAAATTTTACAGGTATATTCCTCGAGACAAGACCTTTCTTTGGGTACCAACATTTCTTTTTTATCTTTTGGCCTGGATTTTGACTTGCATTTGAGAAACTTTAACCTTCGCCATAAGTTGCCATACGGGGGCATCAGTGTTTCACAAACACATCTTGTTTTAATTCTGCAACTGAATGGACCGGGGATTGAACCCGTCTGACCGCCACATTTTCTTACATATATATATATATATATATATATATATATATATATATATATATATATATATATATATATATATATATATATATATATATGTAAGAAAATGTGGCGGTCAGACGGGTTCAATCCCCGGTCCATTCAGTTGCAGAATTAAAACATATATATATATATATATATATATATATATATATATATATATATATATATATATATATATATATATATATATATATATATATATATATATATAAAGCACATTTTACAACAACTCTTAAACTAACATAACTGCCCTAAGTGAAGAAATATTAAATAAATCTAGAAAGCACAAAGAAACTTTTACAAGGATACCCACTTCCGCCCCAGCCCGGGTTGGAACTGTCGACCTACGGAATCTGTCTCCTAGCAGTACAGGAACAGCGTGCTAGACCGCTCGGCCATCAAGACAAGTCAAAAAACTTTCGATGCCGATGGAATTCTCGCGGCGCTGCCCTACACTACACGGTCATTGAGAATGGAAGTGAGATACAGTTATTTGGACATTAGTTTTATTAGAAGATCGTTACCAATACACGTTGTAATGAAATTAATTTTTATTTATAAAGCACATTTTACATCAACTCTTAGACTAAAATAACTGCCCTAAGTGAAGAAATATTAATATAGAAAGCACAAAGAAAATCACTTTTATAAGAGTTCTTATCCGTTTCATTTTTATTTTATATCGTTTTAAAGCATATGTGATGTGTTTCATATTCTAGACATATGTAAATATATAATTCCGACATGCTAGGATTACAAACTTACAAGTCTGGATTTTTGAACACGATTACTCTCCATAGTTCCTAACATCACTTTGTTTCTGATGTTGTCTTTGTGTCTGACGTCAGTGGGCAGGGACTATTGAAATTAATATGGGAAGCCTAAGAATGCAACGATAATCAGTTTGACGGTATATCGCGGTATATTTTTCCACGGTTCAATTCACGATACACTAAACTGATACCGCGGTTCGGTTCAATCGGTCCAGAATTTTCCGAATCGTCCGTTTTGTTTCCTTGTTTAGATGGCTTCTGCGCAAAACGTGAGGTCGACATAACGCATTAACGGCAGTTAAACTCATCTAAAGCATCTTACAGACCTCAGAATTAACACGGAGAAGGACTTTATGTGATTAAAAGTTATAGATGTTAAGACAAATGATAAACCCTTTATATCTAAACGTATTCTTTGGTAATACACGATATCTCTTTTTTTTTCAATAAAAATTCGCTGTCTCGTTGACTATAAAAACGTGTTAACACGAGAAATATGACAACTGGTTTTCTACGTAAATAAAAGGAATAAAAGAATGAATGTCTTCCTTTTTCATTCCAATTTAAAAGGAAGATTATTAGGAAAGGTCCCCGTAGTTCCCTGTAAATGTTCATCACTGGTTTAGAATATTGTCACAACTCAAAGATCTACCTATCAATCTAGTTCAAGTTAACAAAATGATATTTTATTATTATCAAAAATATGAACAACCCTGTCAAGTTTAAAATAATATGATGACAAACTTGAAAGACTTTTTAACCTTGTCATGTATCGTGATACATATCGTATCGTGAACTAAATACCGTGATACGTATCGTATCGTGAGGTTAGTGTATCGTTGCACCCCTAGGGAAGCCTCGTGTATTTTAACTATATTAGACAGCATTTTTTAAAATATTTACAATTTTATTTCACATATACATGTAAATTTAAGGAATCATTGTCTGTTGGGTATGCGTTTCCAATTATCGTTGATGTCATGGAATACCCAACAAACTAGACAGTGATTCCTTAAGTATAGAAACCTCCCCCCCTCCCCCCCCCCCCCCGAAAAAAAAGGTTACACGGATATGTCCGTATAGTGAATCGCTGCAAAGATCAGTGCAGCCGATTAAAAAATTTAAAAAAATAAATAAAGGGAGTAAACACATCAATATTTTGCATCATATTTCTTCTGCTAACTGTTGTTGTTAAAACACAAGTAATCGATGTAAATTAGCTTGCACAAAATTTAGCTGGCTACAGGACAAAAAATATTATGCTCTGGATTTCCGGGGAAATAGAAAGAAACAGTTGGAACTACAAACGCCACCATGGTGTAACCTTTAACCGATTTTATATTCTTTTTTATAATGCCAGCTGCCTGGGTAAAACCTAGATTTATCAACACTTCTTTTGTTCTGGGTTTTTATTTATTTACGCCCCCCCCCCCCCCTCTCTGTATAGAACAAAAATCCAGAATTTATGCTGATTTCGCATTGCTTAACAAGATGGCAACCTATTGAAATTTTATTAGCTACCCTAGCAATGCGTTCTTACAAACTTCCACACTGTTTGTCGATAAATTCCCTTTCCATCTGGTAAATTATCTACATAATTGTCAAATTTATTCACCTCTATGATATCAAGCTAAAAAAAATATTAAAAAAAAAGATCATATGGTGTGAAAAAAATACTGATATGATATGACTAATGAATAATTCATTATACAGGTATGTATTACCAGTAAACTTTGTATTCTCCCAGTTCATCTTAATTTGTCAATCCATATTTGTGCAAAACCAACAAAAAAAAAAAAAAAAAAAAAAAAAAAAAAAAAAAAAAAAGTCAAAGAATGAAAGATATTCTTTCTTGTGACAAACTCTGAATATTTGTCACGGTCATGTCAACATTGTAAACAATTTGTTTTTCGGCATTAAATAAATAATTAAGACTACTTTTCTGTTTGATAATAGAAATAAATCACGAGTGCCTTTTGAATAATTGTGTTGTGTTTGACCACGGGCTACTCAGATGGACCTAAAAACATGGTCCCGTCAAAGTGGTACATGTCATTCTACACCGCACGTGAGAAGAGGGGGGAGGGTGGCAGATTAACAAACCGTGACGGGATTATTGATGCATGTCAGCAGCCAGAAAAAATGTGTATCTGCACGATATGTCACGGTACAAGGTGTCTTAAAAACAATTAACATGTAACAACGTTAACTGTTTTAGTCTACGGCATTTTCATTCGGTTTTTGGACAAAGATGAAGATGTACCTGTTCTTATATGTTCTGATAGGAATAACTATTGGGAATGTGAAAGGTATGCATTTTGTTTTTATTTTAATTCATTCATTATTTTTCTTTACCGCGATATCGAATAAACTTTTTCCAAATTTTTAACGTTTGATATATGACTTTAACAGTTTTAGATACATTTTCACACAGTATAAAATTCGGCGACTTTGCAATTGATATAACATTTTTAAAAAAAATGTCGAACTTAATACATGTAAGTAACTTTAATATTAATTTCCCCACAGGTATTTATATTATTATTTCTTAAGTACGGAGAGACAAATCTTATGAATAATTTTCATAGACTTATCTTAATAAATGTTTTACAGGTCAAATGTGCTCGGACTGTGTACATTTAGATTACACAGTGAAAGGACTTCGTACTATTTCCCGAACTCTGCTGGATTCTCTTCTCTTAGATACTTTCAACCCAGACTGTCTCCATGACAACCAGAAGCTTCACATCAAGTGTCCACGTAATGATAGTGCTGGTTTGGTGGTGAAATGTAAAAAGACCCACGTTATTGTACAGGCCAGAGGGATACAAAGGGTAGAAGCCGGTAATATCTAACACAGTCCATGATGTTAATATTATTATGGATATGTATGCACATGTAAAAAAAAAAAAAAACCCAAAACTTTGAAAGAAATATCTTTTAGATTTAATGGCGATTCCATTCAGTCAACTAAACCTTACGAAAATAAGATAAAGATATTTTAAGATTCATTATTTTTGCGATTTTAATTAATTTGTACTGCAAGATAGCGAGAAAAAAAATTATTTTTACTAACATTGAAATTTTAAACATTTTCCCTCTCCCCTGAAAATCCAAGAAATTAAATAAAATGAAGATATGAATGAGATAAAAGAGAGAAAAAAAGAATACATACATTATGTTTGCATTTATTTCTTGTTGTTATAGGTGCTGAGGTAAATTTGGTAGCGGTTGAGCGACGTTGTGCTTTAGTTGATGCTTCACAAGAAAACAATTGTGTCAACCACATGGAGGACAACACTGTATCCTCGTATATTTCCAAAACCCTGGCACATCTGACGGACACGTGGACTACAGTCAATTATACAGGCGCCAACTGTTTTTCTGACACCCATCATGACGTCACGACAGAAGCGCCCGTTGAAACGAAAAAACATACTGCGCAATATGCCGATTTCACAACTGTGACCAATGTAAAAGAACCAATCAGTGCAGACGTATTACGTGAAAAAATAAATACTGTGAATTCTACTCGAAGCGTTTCAATGGAAAATGTCCAGATTTTGAACACTACTGGAAATTTCGAAGAAAGTACACAGATAGCGAATGTTACATTAGCATTTTCAGCAAATGATTCCATGGTTCTTTCAACAAACTCAAGCAGTGACATTGATTTAGGGAGAAAACAGGAATTGAACAAGAATGTAAGGAAATTCATCAATTATATCAGAAGTTACAACAGAGCACCTGCCAAGAAATGCAGTGAATTGATACTAGTGATGTCACTTTTAGCGATATATCTAATTGATAACTTTCTTAGGGCTGCAACAATCTGAATAAGTAAAGATAGCACAGAATTACAATGTATCATGCTTTTTTTTTTTTTTTTAAAGTTATTTAATGGTCATGTTATATAATGTTTTGTTTTACTTTTTAAATAAAAGAACTTTAAAACCCAATAGGTGATTATATAGACAGAGGAAGTTTAAAGGGAAAGGTTTACCTGTAAAAATAAGCATGTAGTGTACAAAGTACTGACCACTTTCTTGTAAAAGAATTATTATTTAAGCATAAATTTGATCTAAGAATTGATATAAAGATCCTATAATACATGTCTGGATAAAATATACAACTGGAATATTTGAAAACAGGAAAAGTTTGGCCCTTTCACATTTGAAAACAATTTCGCCCTGTTCACACCCCTCGCAACTGGGCTGGATTAAAACGGGGCGAATTCAAGGAAGACAGCATTGTCTTTTTAATATACCTGTTTCTGGGCGAATTTAACACGGGGCAAAATTGTTTTCTAAAAAACTCCAAAGAACTTTAAGAAAATCTAAATTCTCGAAAGTCAGTAACATCAAAACGTACGACTTTTCCACACTTCATACAACCATTCTTCACGATAAATTAAAAACTAGGCTCTTTGACATCATAGACAACTACTTCTGCAATAAAAATGGAAGTTAGAAAATTTCGTGTCTTGTGATCTGTCATCAACACTTTTTTTTTTTTAAATCACAAAAGTACAAAAGTACTCTAAAGTGGATATTGAAAGGATGCTGGAGTTCCTCATTGACAACATTTATGTAATCTTCGGAGACCAGGACTTCTAACAAACTGTTGGTATGCTTACTCCTCCTAGGCTTCTGATCCCACCTCTGGAATTTCTGGGGGTTCGTGTTTTGTTCCATGTTCACAGATTTGTATTGTTTGTAGATTTTTTTGAGATCGATCACTGATTGTTATCTTCACCTTTTTCATTGCAAATGTGTAAGGGCGAAAATAACCCTGTATACAGTACACTAACACTTTCCGTGTCTAAGTGAACGAAAGCAATTCTGTACACCACCTTTGATTAAATTTGAGATTATTTCTGAACCACAACTGATATAAATCATATTGCTCAAAATGTCGAATAAATCTATAATCAAGATCATAAGCATGGACCTTGGAAAATACAAAACCATACCAAACTGTTTCTGGGCGAATTTAACACGGGGCAAAATTGTTTTCTAAAAAACTCCAAAGAACTTTAAGAAAATCTAAATTCTCGAAAGTCAGTAACATCAAAACGTACGACTTTTCCACACTTCATACAACCATTCTTCACGATAAATTAAAAACTAGGCTCTTTGACATCATAGACAACTACTTCTGCAATAAAAATGGAAGTTAGAAAATTTCGTGTCTTGTGATCTGTCATCAACACTTTTTTTTTTAAATCACAAAAGTACAAAAGTACTCTAAAGTGGATATTGAAAGGATGCTGGAGTTCCTCATTGACAACATTTATGTAATCTTCGGAGACCAGGACTTCTAACAAACTGTTGGTATGCTTACTCCTCCTAGGCTTCTGATCCCACCTCTGGAATTTCTGGGGGTTCGTGTTTTGTTCCATGTTCACAGATTTGTATTGTTTGTAGATTTTTTTGAGATCGATCACTGATTGTTATCTTCACCTTTTTCATTGCAAATGTGTAAGGGCGAAAATAACCCTGTATACAGTACACTAACACTTTCCGTGTCTAAGTGAACGAAAGCAATTCTGTACACCACCTTTGATTAAATTTGAGATTATTTCTGAACCACAACTGATATAAATCATATTGCTCAAAATGTCGAATAAATCTATAATCAAGATCATAAGCATGGACCTTGGAAAATACAAAACCATAACCTGAACATTTTTATCAAAAAATAAAAGAGGGTGTTGCAGAAACTCGCGATTATTCCCTAAATCGAGAAGGACATTTAAGGACATACGCAACGTACCTTACCTACTGATAATTTTTCAAGATATTCTTAATTTAAGATTATAGTGTCATCAGATGTTCGTAGACAAAAAAATCAGCATGCATTACCAGGGGTTTTGAAAAGATATTAATTAATGAAAATTCTTGCATAATTCAAAGAAAAATATACAAAAATTACTAAACATATATTCTAGATGTTTTGTTTATCCAAATTTGTTTTAGAAAAAATGTACAACAGCATATATAGACATTAAAATGTAGCACACAGTTCCTTTAAGCATTGGAACTCTTCAACTCCAGGGAAAAAGACAATACAGTTCAAACTACGCTGCGTATGTCCTTAAATACCCACGACGCGTGGAGAGTTAGCCTATCTCTAAATATAGATCTATAACGCTACGTAGATGACTTTATTTATACGGCGGGTATGTCCAGTCCAGCTTGTTATAGCAAAACATTTCACATTTTACGTTTGTTTAATGCATAGTTTTTCCTAACATAGGCTGGCGACCTGTTAGTAAACTTTTCATATCTATGGTCACTGTCGCCATATTGCACAAGAAAAGTTAGAACGATAAAAGCACAGCTAATGGCAAGTGCACCTCGCACATCATTTTGAAAGATGTACTGTATAAACAGCGTGCGTTAATATTTTTCAATATATAAAAATGTGTCGAATAATTACGCTGTTGATGCAATATCCAAGAAGTTTCATCGAGTCATTTCAAGTCAAATCTGAGCCACTAATTAACAGAACAATAATGAAATGAGTATGAAAAAAATAAATTATCTAAAATGATAGTATTTTATTTTTTTAAGGAAGCTCTAAACACTGCTCAGTAAAGAGTTCAAATTCCATGGTAGTTTTATGCAGTTAGAGTGATCTGCCCTTTGATGTGAAATGGAATAAATGAAACTCTACAGTTGATGACACAATTTAGAATAGATTAAAGTATTCGTAACATTATATTAGATCAAAATAAAGTAATTAAAACATTGTTTGCATGTACATTCCCAATGTAAGTAAACAACAGTGATTCCTGTTCATTAATACTTCATTGTCTTGAATTATTTTTTGTGGAGAAATATGGCAGGTACCCTATATTGAAAATGAACTAGAAAAATTCAATATGAACGCCTGTATGTTATAAAATTTTCTCAAAGTCCAAAAAACATTTTTTTTTGTCAGTGTTGAGAGTTTCCTTAAGACAACGCCACTATATAATAACATTAAATGTATGACTAATTAGTTTTAGATGACAATATCAAGGAAAACAATTTAATTCTGTATACATTTAAAATATTACCCATTAACTTTGACACTCTCTCTCTCTCTCGATGTTACATTGTACTTCCATTTATATAAGGAAAAAATGTATATAAGCCATTCCAGGATTCGAACCCATTCTCAGGTAAAAAGAATCTTCGCATAGAGTCCACACGCTTTACCCTAGACCAGCTCCGACACTGAAGTATCATGTGCTATTTTATGTGCACATTTTGCATCTCGGATGGATAATAATTTTTATTCGATTTTTGTGATTTTCAAAAATATGCCTCTTTGAAACAAAAATCGGAAATGGCAGTTTTGAAGAAAAATCCTGTCTCTTTGTGCGTATATCAAATTTATTTTGTTTCAAGGAGGCAATTTTTCAGAACAATGGGGATTCCCTATTTGAAAAACAGAAAACATGACTTATTTTGCTATGTGACTAATTTACACTTCATTTAATGGCAAATTGGTAGTCGATATGCAGTTTCTAAATATCGCTCTACATTGTGCTGTATATACCGTTGTATCTGAAAAAATTTAAGACCGTTTTCTGTCACTTAAAAATTTTCTTTTAAACTGCTACAACTTTAGGGAAAATAACAAAAGAACTGCAACACCCTCTTTTACACTAGTAATATTAATTTGATTACAGGTGTTCTCTATCTGTAGGGTTCTTGCTATCTGCGTAATGGGTGCTAATATTTGAATAAACTTTTACTAGACAACTTAAGGTTACCCGTTTGTTAAATTTGGCTGAACTGCATCAATCTTGTTTTTTTTCCATTAGGAGAGAATATTAGTACTATAAAAATGAAACTTCTGTCCCATCCCCTGCTTCCTTAAAATCTCCATCATTTCCTGTGCCCCCTTAAAGGGATGTGCTTTGTATGTCTTATGTAAAGTTTTTTATAGATTCAATTGGTTCTTAAAACTTAAATTTGTAGCAACGAAAACTTACTATAGGAAGAACAAAATAAAATAAAGTATTTTTATTTATCTTAAAAAGAGTCATTTTTACTTTGTAGGGAATGCAAAAATATGCATTTTTTTAATTCATTTTCATAAATAGGTAGTTTATGATCCAAGCAAACCATTGATCGAATTCCCTCAATTGTGTCAGAATCACGATTTTGACACACCTCTAGATAATAACCAAAAGCTTGCTCATTTCTTATAATTAATGTGAGTCAATAAACATTCAATGAATACAATTTCATGACATGGATGCTATAGATGAAAGAGAAATAGATAAACATATTGACAACATGATAATAAAATGTTCATTCCTCAATGACATTGGGAGACACCATATGATACAAAAATGCTGCTGAAGCAAGAATATCTTTTCTACATTAAGTCTTTTATATGTGACATAAAATGAAATAACTTAATGCATTGATGCTGAAAGAAGCAGCTCCATTTCTGAGATAATCACTTATGAGGTGTCAGATGAAGAGACAATATGACAAACATAATGACCATTCCCAGAATTTTAATCAATCAAATAGTGAAATGAAGCAACGAGAAAGAAGAGCTATCGGTAAAACAAAATGGCGCTCCATCTTCTACTCTTGTCGGTTCTTGTGCGCAAAACATCTTCAATGGCAGCTGATGCACGGACCGTTGCAGTTGGAGGATTGTTTGATCTAGAGAAATATGAAAACAATGGATACTCAGAACTTCTAAGCGCCATAATAGCTGTGGAGCATGTCAACAGTGTAATGGAAGATTTCAAACTTAGATTAATTGCTAACAATTCACAGGTATTTTTTTTTATATTGGTAGTATAAACACTGTGGTGTTTTAGAAAAATGAAACTGTGATATAATTTGTTATAACCAAGTCACACGATGCAACCGTTTTTTTTTTTGTTATTTCAGTGTAACCCTGGAATCGCTATTGATGCTTTATTTGATTTTATTCACCGAAAACCTCTTTTAGCCTTTGTTTTGGGTAGTGGATGTTCGGACGTGACAAAAGCGCTGGCTGAGATAGTCCCTTACTGGAACACTATACTGGTATATGTTACAGTTGAAAAAGGAGAGTCCTAGATGATTAAATGATTGTTGCAAATGAATACATTTTTATTGTTGTAAATGTATTTTTGAAACTTAGAAAGTGATATCTGTTTACAGAAATATAATTGCAAAATACTTCAGACTATCTTATTAAACTGAATTTTAGATATCACACGCTTCCACCTCTCCGACCCTCAGTAAGAGGAAAAAATATCCAACATTTTTTAGACTAGCTCCAACTGAGCATGCCAAAAACATAGCTAGGAGCCAATTTATCACGCACTTTGGTTGGAGGAAAGTCGCTACTGTCGTGGAGGATTCATTCTCTCTTGTAAGTAGACTGGTACCTAACACATGGCCTTTTAAATCCGGTATAATAGAATATATAATAATCTTCACTGTTATATAATGTAAGAGAAAGACTACAGCAAACAAACCTGATTGTAAAAGTAATACTTGCGAGACAGATTTTTTTTGACATTTTCAAATGTGCACTCGTGAAAATACCGAAAAATCCTGCCCCACTCATAAAATGAATTCCAAATCCAACTACAAAACATTGAATATCCTCTATTCATTAAATGCTTGATGTTCATCTGAATGTAGTAGCCTATATGGCCTTTAAAAATAATGCAACAACTGATGTTTTCAAGAAAGCTACTAGTATTATCATTTCAAATAACAAAAAAATTGTGGATATTATGAATTGTAGGCAATGAAGAGTTCTACAGAGTTCTTGTACAAAAACAACATCACAATCACAGAATCTCTGGAATTAGATAACAGTTATGAGAGTCTTAAGAAAAAGATGGTCGAATTAAAGGTAAGCCAACACTTTTGCAAATGTTATCTAAGTACGCCACAAAGTAATGTTTTACTATTATATTTTCAGGTAAAAAATGTAAGGATTTTCATAGTAGCTTCATCGAAAAGAACAAGCAGAAAAATTTTATGTGAGGTAAGGTAATAGTACATGTAAAAAATTGTTCATCGATTTACTAACGAATTACACCATTTCTTTGGATAAATTAGTTCTTAGCAAAACCGAACAAGGAAGAATTTGTCTTCTGCTGGCCTTTACTTAATCGTATGATTTAAAAATTCCCACTTTTTTGCTAGTGTTACTGATTTCTGTGTAAAATACATGGTCCATGGTTTTATCTTTTATCTCTACATGCTATAGGCATTCAGACTGGACATGTGTAGTTCTCGGCATGTCTGGATATTTATTGGGAATTTTGAAGCAGAATGGTGGGAGGTAACCGACACAGGGTGTACTTTGTCACAAATGAGACAAGCTTCTAATGGAAGCATAATAACAGGGCGTTATTCTGGAAGAAACGATGAAATTTACAAAGTTCACAATCTGGTATGTTATCTTCGATAAGCTTTGTACATTTTATATCAATCATACACAATGAAATAGAGTTTTTATAAGATTTTATGATTTTTTTTCTTAATGCTCTCAATCTCACACTCTTTCCAGACGAGAGACGATTTTCTGTCTTTCTATGAGGGACGAAATGGAACGTTTCCTATCAGTCCTTACGCGTATAGTGCCTTTGATACAGTTTGGACAATTGCTTTAGCTGTTAAGACCATCCACAGCAATGGACTTCTGTCATCTTTGATAAACACTTCCTATACAAGTAGAGAGAATCTCACGAATAACATGATGGATATAATATCCAAAATACACTTCCTTGGACTTTCAGTAAGTGTCGGTTAAACTCCATAAATTCCCTATAAAAGACGATTTTTTGTGTGTGCTAATATTCATTTCATGACAGGTATAATATATGAATGATATATAATACGTGAAACTGCGTTTGTGGACAAAGAAAATTAAAGAATTGTTTTTCTTTCCAAAGAAATATAAACTAAAAATCTTAGACCATCAAGCTTAAAAAAAGGTCGAGTTTATCTGACCTAGCTATTTGCTTTTTCAGAAATGGCGAAGAATAAAGAGTTTTTCATAACACATTTGTTTGTCACGGTTTTTCAGTGTATCTATCTAGCTGTTGCAAAATTATAATGTTATTTGATAATAGTTATGTTACGGGAAAATGCGCAAAGCACTGAGTTGCTGATCCTCATTGGTGTTAACTTGATGAACTGCCTATAATTTCAGGGACTTGTTACCTTTGATGGCCCGGATAGAACCGAAAGAGCAGCTTTATTTCAGAATCAAGGTGAACATCGAAAGCTTATTATGATACATCAACGACTTAACTGTTTAAAAACGTTATAATAAAGCGTGGTTGCAACAGGATTTAATATATAATTAGCTAATCATTTACAATTACAATAATTGCACCTGCTAATGAAATGAAATCTGATATTATTAAAGACAATTGTTATGTTTTCCAATACATTTGTTTAAAAAATTGAAGCACATTGTGTCACTAGTTCTAAAGAATACGTTTCATATTTCTGTATCAGATGGTATGAGAAGGCTTGTTGCTGTATATGATGTAGTGGAAAATCGTCTAAATTTTAATTGTTCCGAGTGTTACGAGATCAGCTGGGGAAGTAGGGATTCATACTACCAATCTAAAACTGAAATAATTTACAATTAAAACATTAATTTTACTATCATGGTTGTGTAATTGAATTCAGGTGTAGCTTATCTTTTAGACAGGAACCTGGTCCCAGCTGACTCTAGTCTGATTCTGGTGAAACATTTAAAAATCGGTTTCACCGTATCCTGTATTGTCATCTCAATTTGTTTACTGGGAATAGTGATGTCTTTTTCCTTTCTGATTTTCAATGTCTATCACCGAAAAAAGAGGTACTCTTACAAGAAAAAGAATTTTCAAAAGTAATCAAGTTTTTATCTGTGCTTTAATATAAGCTATCCTATAATTTTGAAATTGCTTGTATTCGTTCCAAGAACTATATACCGAATTTAAAACAATATGTTAATATTACGTTGGCAGGTTCATCAAACTTTCTAGTCCTAAGCTGAACAATGTGACTGTGCTGGGATGTGTCTGCGTATATTCTGGGATCATACTTCTTAGCTTCGATGTACAACTGCTCCCAGACAACCTCTTTTCAGTGTTCTGCCATGTTAGTAGATATTAAAAATATTCACTATGATTGATTTAAAATGAAAGTCTTTCAGTAAAAACTAGAGATCTGTTATTTTCAGATAAGAACCTTTATCTTTGCTGTTGGATTTTCAATGGCGTTTGGTTCCATGTTCATAAAGACGTACAGGGTTCATCAAATATTTACACAAGTGAACAGCGGATTTGTCAAGAGGAAGGCAAGCTCTTATAGATACATTTATTTTAACCCTAAGAATAAATGATTTTGAGATTAATTTTGTTTTGTTTTTTTTGCATGTACAGATGCTACAAGACAAGCATTTACTTATAACTGTAAGCATATTAGCACTACTGGACATTATTGGCGCAGTTTTATGGATTCTGGTGGACCCTATGTACAAACACGTCCAAAATCTTACACATGTGGTTCGTTTGTTTGATTTTTTCCTTGTTAATGCTAATTTTCAATGTTCACTTACCACTTTATTCTGTAAGAGTTCATTACAGGATTATGTGGAAGACGAAGACATTCTATATGTATATCAGACAACGCATTGCAACTGTGTACATATGGAGAAATGGTTGTCTGGGTTCTATGCCTTCAAAGGACTCCTGCTTCTGTTTGGTTGCTACATGACTTGGGAAACTCGCAATGTGAGCATTCCAGCTCTTAATGACGTCCGCTACATTGGAATGAGTGTCTACAATGTCGTCATTATGAGTATTTTTGTGGTTGTGATATCCAATGTACTGACGGATGAGCCAGTACTCGCTGTGATTCTGGAAAGCGTGTGTATTTTCATCTCAGCAACTGCCATATTATGTCTTCTATTCATTCCTAAGGTATACTAGAGCTCTAATGCAGTAATATATCCGAGTAAAATGTTTGCATGTAACGGAGTTTTGATTAATTTGTAGCAATATAAATAAATGAATTTATTTATATCACTTGCAGTTACCTTGCCATATACCTCTCTCGTAAAAACGCTATAGGCGAAGTTATTGCTATTTGCATAATACATGGAACTTTATAATTTCTAAATGTTTATTTGACAAACAAGAACTTTAATTATGTTTCTTTTGCAGAAATAATCGCAATAATATCACGTCTTTAATATAAAATTTCTTATTTATCTTAAAGGTGTCGATTATCATGAGAAAAAAACAGCAAGATTCATTGTACGCTCCTGGATTTGTGGTAGCATCTAAAACAATGCGTTTTCCAGTTGATGACAAACAGGAACAAAAATTCAGAGCTGAAGTTCAAAACAGAGCATTAAAAAAAGAACTGATTGAGGTTATTATTTTTCAAGTTTTCCAAAATACTGTATTAATATTTATCTTGTGATCAAGAAGGGATAAAAGATTACTTCTGGTAACTCGATATTTTGAAATATTTTATGCTAGTTATTCTACTTTATGAAATATTATGGCATAATCAATATCACCCTGCGACGTTGAAGTGAAATGTCTTACATCATGTAAGTTAGAACATGAAGTTCAAAGGTTAGAGAGATTGTTGGAGGGAGAACCAGAGCCCTATCCAGATATTACAGAGGACATCCTTTCTCTTCTATCAGAGACTCATGTGGACACTTCTTCGAGGATGCCTTCAAACAAAAGGTAATGGCACGGAAGTTTCAAAATCTATTTCATATGCAATTAATTGTACACAAATAACACACTTTATCTATAATTTATGCGGATAGCAGTCTATCAGTTGGAAGCAGTGTTTATTCTGACGACGATGAAGAAAAGTCCATATCAACAGAAGACACCGGCAGGATTCATATGACCTTATATCCTCCTCGTGTGACCTTCTTATCCTCAAAAATACAAAACTCAGTAGATTTATTTGAACAACAGGATCAGAAACTGTGCACAAAAGAAATAATGTGGAGAATTGCTTCGAGGAAACTGGATAAAGTAGAGGATTTCGTAGAAATAACTGGATATGACGGAAGTTAGTTTTGTAAAGAAAAATAAACTGTTAGACCAAAGATAAATACCATAAATGTAGTACGTAAAAATTTATTTATTTATTCTGTGTTATTGAAAATATTTGTATATTTCTAAAAATATTATTTCTTTATATCATTATGAAAACATACAATCAATTGGCCATGGTTTTTTCACAATAATTCATTATATAATATTTTGCAAAAAATCATAATTTACAGATTGACAGAAACACGTTGAATATTGAATATTTATAAATTTATGAAAAAATTGATATAAAAGTTCATTAAACTTCATATTAACTTAATTCATATCCAAACAAGGTCAAAACGTCAAGTATGTTAGTACCCAAAGAAAGGTCTTGTCACAAGAAATACACAAATGAAATATGAAAGCCCTAGCACAAACTGTTCAAAAGTTATGAGCAAAGTTAAAGTTTTTTGCGGACAAACAGAAAAACAGACAGACAGACAGACTGGCCAAACACTTTAGCCCACAAATCTTCGATTACGTTAGCATAAAAAATTAAAGAAAGTAAGAAAGTTAGCTCTACTGGTTGTAATTGTGACAAATTGTGACAAATCCGTGCTGTCCATTTTTATTCTGTTATTTCCATGCTCACAATTACAAACAATTCATTTGTAATACGTTTAATAAACGTGAAATTCTAGGTTTCTCAAAGTCATACTGTAACTAAGGCGATTTTCGTCTGCATTCCTTTGTTGTACTATCGGTGAATACAATTGTCAGGTGGGTTCCCTGACCAAAACAGATGATCACGGGTATTGTAATATGAAAAAAAAAAACTAACTGTTTAAATGCCTAAGGGATGCTGCTCGTTTTCCCTAACCTTGAAGCGCTGGTGTTCTGAACGTGGTGCAGAGTGCATTTTTATATGCATTTTCTAGTTAACAACGGAGCAACAAATTACAAACGCCCGTGGCATCTTTCATAGTTTCTACTCTGTATTTTTTCATCTAAACATTTTTTTTTCAATTTTTTTTTTCCAATCCATTTGATATCGATCATACAATAAAGCGCATTGAAGTGGTAAAATTCTCCGTTTGAATGGAAGGTTTTGAGCTTTCTTTAGAACGTTGATTGTCATATAATGACACGCCCATTTCGTTAGAAAGTAAAAACAACGCTCAAATGGTTCATTCGAATACCTGTAGAACAGGTATTCGATAAATATAATAGCCAATCAAATTGACAGTCTATACATAAACACCAAGTAAACACGTGTTCGACCGATACATGTGTTGTGGTAACTCCAATAAACAGGATAAATTCTTAAAGTGACAGTACGGCGCATTTCATCAAAAAACTGACTTGATAAAATTTTCCGACAAGATTTGGTATTTTTTTACTGCTCATAAATGTATAAACTTTCAGAAAATTACAACTGTCACAATTAAATAATTTAGATTATTTCGTTAAAATTAATAGTTATTTATGGGACGTAAATATATACATCGCAACGTGTTCGGGGTTCCACATTCCATGCTATGCACGCATGCGTAGTTTTCATAAACAAAACAGCATGGTTAGAGAGGGAAGCCCGGTAGGCCAGCTACATTGACAAAGTCGACCAAAAAGAAAAAGAAACTGAAAATAGAACTTGAAAAAGCAACTTTCCTGACTAAAATTTAGTTTGGAGATTAATATAATCGCTGGATAAGGAAGAAACGGGAACTCGGCGACACTCGTGCAGGGCTCTCGAAGGTTCTATTCGACAGGCTTGTTGATACTTGTTATCATTTCTCATTTTTCCATCGCTTTCAAAGAAAAAAATTAGTGTAAACTCAACATAAAAATACACCTTTGACTTATAAATATTGTTGCCATTTGAAGTGCTATTTTTTTTTAACTGTGCAGAAAAATATTTTGTTTGACATTTGCCGCGATAACGTATGATTAGTTGGTTTTTCCTTTCTCGGACCCCAATACACAAAACGTCAACATTTGTACTTTTAATTCTGTTAAATTCGCCTGAAAGCAGACTAAAATCTTTACAATTATTATTTTAGATTATTTTATCAGAAAGTTATGATAATTTGCTTTTGAAAATTGCTTTTACCTAATATTCATTATAATTGTAAACTATACAGTGTAGGCACGTGTCATTTTAGAATTCACGTGGTACTAATAAACAGATCTAAGATTGCTCCAGTTCGTACGACCCTTGATTTTCCGGCAGATTCTAATTACGTTAATTTTGTTTGAGTAGAGAATATTTCTGTTTCTCAAACTGCTTACAACAACTTTATACCTTATTTCTTAGTGACATATTGGGTAAATTTGAATGAAAAAGCACACATTTTGCAGCCGTACTGTCGCTATAATTATGTACATGTTCGTTGCAATACGCGTTATATACAAAATCGGGGTCTCTAACTCTTCTAACTTTATAAAATCTCCTTTTCAGTGTAATTCATGTTACTAGTCGCAGAGAGTGGGGTTACCTAAAGCATTACGACGAATATTTCTTTCTCATTTCTAAAGAAATAGAGGTGTCATTCTGTAGCAGGGTTCTCCATGGGCCGTCTAACGTGGCGACTCCGCCACCGTTAAATTCCCTAGCGCCACAGTTAAAAAATCAGCGCCATAGTTCCGCCACAGTCAAAATTTTAGCGCCACAGCAGGATCATTGTATTCATTAAGATAAATATAAAAAAATTATATATCAAATGAACATCCAAATTATGTACCGATTTTCAGTTTTTAATGCTTAACCGTTAATTTACTCTAATTAAAGTCCATTGTTTGGCTTGCGCAATCAATTATCTTCTAGATCTCGATGGACACATGAATGAAAAGAGACAAGCCATTTTTTCACACTTCACGATATTTACAAATGAAATTTTTAATATTAATTAATTCATGTTTTAACAGTTCTACAGATAACCACGTTCTTAAATTGCATTGGTACTTCGAGTCAAACATCGTACGTGTATCGTAATCATGTATTTTTGTAAGTGTTGCAATTGACGTGCGATAAGAAACACCTAAACTTTCCACTCAAACGAAAAATTTTACCACTTCAATGCGCTTCATTGTAGATTGAGTTTAATCAATCGATCAATCAGTTTATTCACTCAAACCATACAACATGGTACATGAGGGACATAAAGTATAAATCATATCTATTAAATCTTCAGAGGTACATACCACATATATATACATAAATAAATATTTTGCAGATGCATGTAAAAGAATAGACATATAGTATTAACAGTATGTATGTTTTCAATGCAAAGAAAAACACCAGGAGGACATTTAAGGCGAACAGACAGTCTCGAAGATTTTTGAAATAAATGTACAAAGTTTTCTTAAAGATTTAACATTTGAATTTGCCATGAGTTCATAGAACTTTACAAAATTTGGTCTACTGCAGTAACTACTATGTAAAAATTCTTTCCTAATTTCTGAAAAGCTGTACATTCTAAAATGTAGTGGTATTCATTACCTATTTTTTTCCATTGTTACATAGTAAACATATTCTTTCATTTAGTGGGGTGCCACACCATTTCCCTGTTTCTACAGGTAGATGATGATTTGAAGTACGCATTTTCATCAATAGTTTTCTTTGTTTTGGGTGTAATTTTTTAAAATAACTTTCAAATCCGAAATTGGCTTTTAAAATTGAGTTGAACCACGTGCTCGAAGAGAAATGTAAACATATAGGTGTCAAGTTAAGGTTGCTATTCATGCAATGATTGGTCAATTGTGGGTGGTAAGATCCTTTGTGCGCATTAATAACAAAAGTCATATAAGATAAAGGTTTTTCATATACATTTTTTTCTACCGGTGCATCGGGCGATTTTGAAAAAAGTAACACTACTAAGGCCATCGTTATTTACTCTGCCTTACTTAAACACATGGTCGTTTGTGAATATCTCTCTAACGTCTTATATGTATATTTTATAGTATACAAGCCTGTTACTCGTTAACATTGCTTACTTTTACAGTTACTTTTGCTGATTTTTTATTGAAAGACGGATATGGATATATGCGAAACATCCCGAGGAAAATTGGAGTGCCGAGTGAAGTTCTTTAATTGCAAGCTAATTAATTTTGCTTTTAAATACAAATATAACTGTCCTACAATACATTGTATTGTAATGCTTGATGTACTGTCTAATTAAAACATACTTGGTCAATTTTTATTATTAGGCAAAACAGTGAAAAAAAAAACCCAAAACTTTCCTGTTTGACTGATGAGTGAATATTTTGAGACTCAAACAAAGCGCCGATGACTTTGTAGAACAATCAAAGACGCTTTTCAATACTGCTTAGCAGTACTTGTTTAGTGAGATAAGCTCACACTAAGTCCTTTACATGCGACATTACCCGTAACCGTTATTTACTCTGACTTTAACACATGGTCACTTGTGAATGTCTCTCTAACGTCTTATATATAGTATACAAGCCTATAAGTCGTTAGCATTGCTTAAACATTTACATAATATAAAGCAGCAATCAATGATCGTTTTGTCTACGTTGTTGAAAGGGACATAATTTGAGTTATCGAACTTTGAAACAAAACTTACATTATGCAAATTTCCAAATAAACATTCAATCACAAGGACAAATTGTATATAAACGCTGTCTTTGGAGGGTGGATGGTGGGGAATGTTTCTAATACATTGACAAGTAAAATAATTGTGCTTGTTTAAATACAAGTAGAATTGCACCATACTGCACTCTGCTGCAATACAATGCGATACATTGTGATGCCTGCAAAATTGTCCAATCAAAATGAACTTAGTCAATTTTTTTTTCTTAATTGAATTTAAAAACTGATTGAAAACACACACATTTTTTTTTTCATTTTATGATTTGAAAAAAAAAAAGGTTTCAAAAACAGACCAGAGAGCATTTCTTTTATTCTTTATTCTTAAATATTTGTTTTCTTTGATATGAATCAAAATCAACAATCAGTAATTAAGTCGAAAGACTTTCGTAAAATTACGTGTTGCTGGTTTTTTTTTTTTATCGAATGACAA